GGCGCATATTTTTAAAGGGATTGGACACGAGAGATGTGTTCCGAAAATGTAAATCTAATGTGTAAGACGAAAGGGGAGGGGAAAAAGAAAAAAAAAAAGAAAAGAAAGAAAGAAACAGTTTAGTTACACATGAATTTTAAATAATGTTAGAAGAATTGTAACAAGCTAGTAATCCTTAAAAAGTCATGATATTAATTTCAAGAATTCATGACTTAAAAGAGTGTTCTATCTCTTGGAGAGCCCATAATTAAGACCATATATAGTGGAGGATCTGAAGATTGATCGGATTATTTTCAATTTTTAAACTGCTATTAAGTGTTTTCTGAAGCTCAAGCAGAAACACCATTCAGCAAAAGGGCTTTAAGAATGGAAATATATACTTGTATTTATCAAAAAAAAAAATGAATGGGAAAAATTGTATGTGTCATAGATCACCTTTTAACTACATTGTGATTAAAGATTTTTTAGATATCAAATGAAACTCCTTGAGACAATTTAAGGGAAATTACATTCTGTTTGGGCAATGTGTATGTGTGCTACTGTTAATTGATCGAAGTAGAAATCTAATTGGTCAAAATGGTTAGTTCATGATTTGTGTATGCCGTCAAGGCAATGAGATATACTCCCTCCGTCCCATAATTATTGTCCATTTTGCCCAAAAAATTTTGTCCCAAAATTATTGTCCAATTTGACTTTTTATGGATCAAGTTACACATTTGTCCTTGGTAAAAAACATTATCCATAAAATCTTAGTGGTTAAACAATTACTTATGTAGGGGTATATCCGGTTGTTTAAGGTAAAATATAGTTAAGTTTGACCAAAAATAAAATCTTTCATTTTAGTAAAATTGGACAATAATTATGGGACGGAGGGAGCAGTTGATTCCTTCATGTATAAAATTCTGCTTCTTTTGCCTGATAAAGAATCAATTTTGTAGGTACCTCCTCAGCTATAACTTTTGATACTATTTTCTGTTAATTCTAATCCTTCCTGCGAAATATCCCGATGAATCCCTGAATTAATATGAATAAAAAATGCATGCGATGATATTTCAACAATGCCATATATATATTGACATTATTATTGATCTCAATGGCCCTTCATGGGTTTCAAAAAACAAAAAAAACAAAAAAAAAATGGCCCTTCATGGCTTCATCCACTTACAACTTGAAAATGCCTGTCATGATATCTTGTTCACATGATCACATCTACCTGGATATTGGATGGGAAGCCTAATTGACATGTCACTCGGATTCAGGGTTCGTTGGAACATGAAAGATTCATGGCGCAGCCATGAGAACTTTGTATTTCCTTCTCCCCAAAAAAAAAAAAAATGAGAGCAAAAATCTTCACCTGAATCATCTCCGGGGAGCATCGAGTAGGACGCCAAGAGCAAAAAGGAAATTAACCTTCTAACTTGAAAGATTTTATTCAATCATCTTAGTTAGATTCATACGTACTCGGCAACACTTTCACATAAATGATTTGCATTCCATAACTATAATTGAGATGATTAAATATGTGGAATTGAAATTAACATGCACGGGATAAAATCCCTAAAAGCGACCGAATTCAGGACTAAAAATGTTAGGGTCTGAAACAACAATATTCTAGCTTCTCAACTATTCCACCCCTTTTAGAGTATCTAATAGAGGAGCCCTGTTTTGTTCAATCCCTTTGGTGCTAACAACAAACCAACGACAATTTCAATTCAATTTCAATACATCAGAGCAAATTATTAATGCACGAGTATATTTTCCTTGTGAAATATATAATCTCCGTCCCAAAAAAATAATCTATATTGAGTTTTCTAATTTGTACTAAAAATAGTACAAAATTCAAAACTCAATATGATATTTTTTTGGGAGGATGTAGTAGTACGCTTGATTATTTCGTTCTTTTTTTTTCCCTTTTATTTTCGGTTTGTGTTAGCTTATGATCATATCAAAATGCAGGATTCGGTAAACGGACTAGTCCACTATGCGTATGTGAGAGGCATAGTGCCAAGTTGAGTCCGAGTCCATTCTTTTTAGCCCGTTGAAAATAAAATATAGGGCGAACAACTTTTTGCCCCCAAGTTTTAGCCCGCTCTATTATAAACTTTTCAAATTTTAATAATATTATCTTTCTAGACAGGAGTCAACATTAAAATGACTAAAATAGCCACAGTTTATATAAACTTCATTCTTTTTCTTTTTTTTCTCGTTTTTTTTTCTTTTGATCATTAAAAATGATAATTAATTAATTTTTCATTTTCAGATTTAATTATAACATAAGTTAATAAATAAAAATTAATGCTTGAAAATGAACTTATGCAAATGTTTTTGAAAACATGTCATATATTAAGTTTAAAAATATACTCCATATTAATTCTTTTATATTAATGTACTGAAATTTTTTTTTTTTTGACAATTAATATCATGTCTTTTGAAAGAAGGAAAAATTTTCATAAGGGGCAGTGGAAATAGTTAAATTCATAAAAAGAGTATGACTTTTAAATAATTTTTACTAAGGGCAGTAATTATTTAGCAGGAATCATAAAATCAAAATAATTATATAATGACATCATTATCCTTATTATTTATTTTACTAACAACTCCGGGACAATATATCTTCATCAAATAGAAAATTCAAGAAACAAAATTGTCCCTGGAGATATGTTTCTAATTGCATCAATTCTTTCCCAGGAAATATTTTGCTGAAGAAAAAGTGAATACGCAACCGCCAAAGGAATGGGTGATTCTCTGGAGGTAGTGAAAGTTTCCTCTTTCTGCAAGTGTTTTCCCTTCGGCCATTATTCTTTTCTTGAATTTTGGACACTACCAGCAACGGAGTCCCTAATTCATGTACTATTTGGAAAGCAATTCGCATATTCACATTAAATCGGTAGATTGGTGAGATTTCGGACACTTCCATACGAACCGCGATTTGTGGTGTAGATGGAATGTAATCGGAAATCATAGGTAAATTTCGGGACGAGAAAACTAAAAAAAGAAAAGGTTGGTTTTTTTGGGTGTTTACTTTTTGGATGAGTGAAATAATGAGAAAATGAGATATCGAAACCGAATATCTAAATTGGAAAAGGATTTGATTTTATTTTATTTTTATAAAAGTTAGAGGTAAAGGGTAATCAAGTCAATACACATTTAATTTAATTTTATTATTTTTACCAAATAATTTACTGCCCTTAATAAAAAATTATTTCATGGTCTTAGCCCTTTTATTAATTAAAATTATTTTCACTGTCGCTTATCCAATTTTTCCTAAAAAAGAAAAGAAAATCAATATTTTATCAACTACATTATCACGTAATATGAAACTTTTGCACGTATAAATTGGAAAAAAATTATATAATATATACCAATACACTTGAAGTTAATTGTATATAACAATAAATTTTCCTACCGAAAACTCAATCTTAATAAAACTGCATGCAAAATATTCAGTAGTGAAGTTGGTTTGCTATGTAAACGCAAAACATAAGATTTAAATTTTTTTAAAAAAAGAAAAAATTACAAACATCAAAGGGTGAACCTAATGTTTTCACTACAATTTGCCCCTTTCACAAGATAAGTATAGTCTAATTTCGGTCTCACATTTTTCAATTTTGACAATTTTTGAAGAACCATAGATCTACCTAGAATCAAAAAATATTGGCACTAAGAAAAGCAACCAATTCCGGTGAACCAGAGTATCAGCAGACCCGAATTGATATAAGCAGAGAGCAGGGACAGTGAATAAGTGACTCATAATCAACAACAACTTTAGCTAGGAATTCAAGGCAGCTCAACGGAGTGATTCGAAAGTTCATACAAATGCAACCAGGTTTACAATACTAATGTTATTTGGATATGGAGAAAGAAAGAGGAAATGTGAGGGTGATGAACGGTAAATGAAGGCAATTACATAAAGTGTGAACTAGTCTTTTGGTTTGTTGTGAAGATGAAGAGGATATTTGATGGGATTTGGGCACGAGAGATGTGCTAGAGCCTAGAAGTGTGAATTTTCCTGAGGGTTGTAATTTAAGGTTTTTTCTTCTTTTTTTTCTTTCCCTTTTTTTTAACTAAACGGTTGTGATTGAATGAACTATTAGATCGAAGGAAAAGGAATAATATACTTTCTTGTCTAGCAAATTAAAATACACAAAATATCTATTCAATATTATTTTCGGGAGACTCATGAATATACTATATGGTCATGTAATTAAAAATCTCAACGAAACAAATATTTTATTTAGAAACAAACTAAAACCAAAAAATAAAAATAAAAATGGTAATGAATCTTAAGGTAAAAGAAGGGCGTATATCATAAAGTCGAGAATCAAATTTAGCTCAGTGATTTAGTGATAGGGCTCTCTCATAGGAGATCGCGAGTTCAATTGTCACCGAGCACGATGTTAGAAGATCTAGCATGGATTAACGTGGGAGGAGTAATTAAGATAGATTAAGTAGTAAAGAATAAAATATACCATAATGTCAGTAATTATAATTCTGATGTCCGATTTACTTAAACAATGTAAGGTACGTTAATCATATCATCGGGATAATATGAGTGTTGCGTAGCCAATCTCTAATATAGGTGTACCTCATAAGGCACTACAAGATTTAGGACTTCACTCGAGGGATTTTTCTTTGTCTCCTTTCTTTTTTTTTCCCCCTAGCATTTTACATTTCCCTTTTTGAAAAAGAAGAGAAGTTTATTACGATGGTTGAAAATCAATCCAACTGTAATAATAAAAAGGTGGTAGTTCAGATCACGTAACAAAATTAGAATCGATATTATAAGATAATGTACCTTAAATTCTCAAATGACCAATTTCTAAACTTAGTATTCGGTTTGTTTTGTATAACAATAATGTAGGTCACATATATTTACAGCTGGTATAACAATATATGATATCCACATCAGAAACAAACAATATGCCACAATTTTTGTTTACCATTTTACAACCAAGGTACAAAAAGCCAGCCATCATAACCAAGTTTTTTTTTCCCCGAATTAATCAAACCTTAAGCCAAACCTCCGATTCTCATGCAAACAATCAACCTCCACTTTTCCATTCGTTTTCCTAATTTTGCCTCCTTCAAACTGAACCGCTCCTCATACATCCATGGAGGAGCGGGTATTTCCCGTCGACGGCAACAAGGATGACCCTCCGTTAAAGCCTGTTTCTGGTGACAAAGTTCCTCCTCCTCCTGGCATGGCCCTGGTGAAATCCAACGAGACATATGTCATCCGAATCCCAAGGGATCAAATTTACCGTGTTCCACCACCCGAAAATGCCGAAATTGTGGAAAGTTACCGGAAACCTTCCGGCAACAATGGTAAGAGAGGATGTGGTGGACGTTGTTGGATTTTCGCAGTTCTGGTTGCATTATTGGTAATCGGGTTCGGAATATTTCTCGCAATCCAGCATTTCTCCAACCCGAAATCCCCCAAATTCTCCATTGCTCATTTCGGGAGAAAAGCGACGAAATTACCAAGCCATCATCATACTCCTCTCCATAATAAAAATGCTGTGTATGAAATTTTGTTACAGGTTTTCAACCCAAATGAGAAATCAGTGGTTCATTATGGATCAGGAAACTTGACCCTTCATTTTAAGCGTTACGGAATTGCTTATGGCGTGTCGAAATTGGTTGAACAAGGAGGCGGGACAACGGTTAAGGTTGACCATTCTCTTCATGGTACAAAGGTGGAATTACCTGAAGAAATTCAGAAAATCATGAATGATAAGCATCCAAGGGTCTTGGTTTTGAAGATTGATGTGCCCATTGAAGTTAAATCGTGGGATAAGACATTCAAGAAGATGATGGTTGTTGGGTGTGAATTGGAGGTGGATTCATTAACCCACCAAAGTGCAAAAATTCTGTCTCAACAATGTGGAACGAATTAAAATTTTTCTTTTTGAGACGTATTAAATGTCATGGTTTTATGTATGAGATGAAAATCTGCTCTGGGTTGTTATGCATTTATAATTGTTACCAACAAAATTCGATTGCTTTCTGACATATGCAGGACAGGGTATTTGGTTAAATTATGGCATTATGGTTTTGCAATATTTAGCTTTAAGGTTTACTTTATTAGTTTGGCGTTCTTGATGATTGACCACTTTCGCTCAGCTTTAGCTTTAGCTTTAGTTATTTTTCTCTACTGTTTGTATGTGAAAAATGTGATCCTTTTTTCTTCTGGGAAAAGTGGCAGAGATTGTGTAAGGTAATTTGTCACAACTCCCTTCCAATATACTCCCCTTGCTCTACCTTCCATTCTTATCATTTTCCTTGCAATTACGGAAAATAGACCATAAAATATGGAAAATGGACCAAAGATAGTTAAGGAATTGAGCCACTCCACATTTGTACCGAAAAAAAAGAAAAACTAAAATGAATAAAAGTTGTGGCACGATTTGAATATCGCCCCAAAAAAAAGTAATAATAATAAGCACGAACTGATTTGCTACCTTTCTATAACTAACCACAAGATTTGAGTCCTAAACTTCACCAAAAGAAGTAAAGAATAGACTGGTCAATAATACATATATCATTAGTAAAATCAAAGCATTCTTCTTTAGTCCGAAATTTTAGAACCATCAGGGCCAATGTAACATTCTCCTGGTCTAAGATAAACTGCATTCACTTCATCATCATCCTCAAAATAATAATCATCAATTCAATCAGGATGTTCCATAAGGAATTTCAAGTCATTTTTGTATTCATCCAAATCTTCAAGAAACAACTAAACTTCGCGCCACCTTTTCTCATGCTCACTCTTTTTAGCCTCAGAATCGCAGGGTACGGCAGTAGGATGTACCCTTTTTCCATGTTACTTCAAATCGGCAAAATTCCCAGCAAATTAACACAAATCCAATGGACAATTTCATACATTTTCATTCAATAATTCCCGAGCACGCTCAACAACAATCCAGCCAGTGATTTCACTCTGGCAGAGTGGACACCGCAATTCATGAGCATTTTCTCCGGTGGGCACGAATTCTTGATTCACCCAAAAAAAATTATAGAATGGTTCAAAACAATTCAAAAGTTGTCGGCTTGTGTCACAAAAATAGGGTCAACAACACTTTTCGTGTGATAAACAAATCTATAACACAGTATTGTGGGGATGATCAATGCATACAGGACATCTCAATTCTTCCCACTCATCATCATCCTCTTTTTCATCAAGATTACCCTTAAATCTTCCTCCGTTCTTGATCTCGCCGTCCCACGAAGGACCCTTCTTTTTCTTGTCCTTTGAGTCACCGCCGTATGGAGAAAATTTAGAATTTCACTGCTTACTATTACTACTCTTTGCCATTCTCTCTGTTTTCTTTTTTTTTTCCTCTGGGAAAAAAAAGATCGGATTGATGTGAAGCAACAAATTAAGCGGAGGAGGATAATTGAGTACATGAATCTAGTATATAATTTTGGAAACTAATTTAATCACGATCCCAAAATTATCGGCTATAAAAGATTGCTGCATAATGACACTTTTTCTACTTACTTTTCTAACCGCTTCCCCTGTTCTTGCATAGATAAATTATTTATATTGGACAGTAGTTAATTTTTTGCCTTTCTAAATTAATAAATATAGTTACCAAAAATAAAAAATTGAGAGTTGAGACCACACATGAACAGCTGTCGAAACAATAGAACAAGATGGGGAATGACTCACCATTTTAATTGATAAAATAACCAAAATTAAAACATTCGATTTTTTTGGCAACCAAAACTGTCCGATCATTGAGCTACAATTTTTGTACAGATAGGTAGACACAATAGAGTGTTCATTTATCGAACAAGACCGAAAAGCATACAAGCTTGTTGAAGAACTGAACCGCTCAAGACATGTACAATGTTTTACAAACCTTTGGAAGCTGGAAGGTCGATCCACTTGTGTTCCTTGAATATTTTGCTTGAAGATTGTTCAAAAGAACTCAAAAAACGTAGGAAGAGTATTAGGGTAGGGCTTTATTAAAATGATAAGGGTAATAATGACAATGCATAAGTGTTTCGATTTTCTAATTTATGGCAAATAAATCATTGTCCTTATTAAAGATTATTTCAAAGTTAGACCTCCTTTAATAATTTTTAACCATCTCTACAAAATTTTTCCTAGAGATGAATCTTGGTTGTTAAGGATTCTAGAGTGGAAAGTAATCTAATTCCGTGTTTTCAAATTATTGTGTTTATTTTTTGTACAAAAGTAATTAAATTCCTTTGTTTGTTTACTTTCGAGAAAGAAAAAAAAACATGAAATCAATGAAAGAATAAAAATAAATTAATAATATTTAAAAATTGTACATAAATGAATTGAGAAAAAAATACAAATTTATAATACTAAATAACTTGTGATATGAACGTGGTGATGGTAATCAATATACTAGTAGATGTAGTGAATAAATACTTGTTTGTATAGTTAGACTTTGAGCGTATCTTTTTGAGATTTTTAACCGAATCTCATAAAGAGTATTTCGGAGGTTTATCGGTTAAAAAAATAATTTTCTAACATTTAAGTATATTTTTCCAATATGTAACTAAACAAAAGAAAGTATTTACATTCTTCATAATCATATTCCTATTGTTGTGATGTGTTTCGGAGGTATATGAGAAATACACACACGCAAACAAATAATAAAAATCTTGTTTCCACGCACTCAAGACTCAAGAAGAAGTCTGTCATTGTGTTGTGCAAGTAAGGGTCGATTCCTAAATTAGTGCTAAATTGTGAAAGGTTGAGAAAAGAGATAATTTCACAAGAACAAGATATTGAACGTACAAACAATGAAAGTTTAAGGATAAAAATTCAAGTAACAAGGAAAGGAAATAATACAAGGAAAGTAGGACTAGAACAATAGGAATGGCAACAAGATTACTAATGTATTCCTAAGTGTGACAAAGGTAGAGTTCATTTAACCTAATTATGCCTATAAGATTTTGGTAACTAAGGAGCCATTGCCACCCAATTTATTGTGTTGCGTTTTGGATGTATATGAGAAGTATACACACGCAAACAAATAATAAAAACTTTGTTTACACGCACTCAAGACCCAAGAGAAAGCCCGTCGTTGTGTCTTGCAAGTAAGGGTCGATCCCACGAGAAGGCTATTTCCTAACTTAGTGCTGAATTGTGAGAGGTTGAGAAAAGAGATAATTTCACAAGAACAAGATATTGAACATACAAATAATGAAAGTTTAAAAATAAAAATTCAAGTAACAAGAAAAGGAAATAATTCAAGGAAAGTAGGGCTAAGACAATAGGAAGGACAATGAGATTACTAATGTGTTCCTACATCTGATGAAGGTAGAGTTCATTTAACATAATTATGCCTATAAGATTTTGGTAACTTCGGAGCCATTTCCTTTTACACCTCTGATATGCTTATATTTTACCTATTTATTATATCCCTAATTTGTGATTTTTACAATATATTTTGAGTACAAATATGCTATTTATATGATTTTATCTTTATTTGTAGGAATATTACTCAAAAGGAGGAATTGTTGAAATTGTGGGCTAAAATGAAGATAAAAGCAGCACCTCCTTGCTCACCATCACCGCCGCGCAGCACCACCTAGCCTTCTCCTCCACACCACCGAAGCAACCGCAACACCTTGCTTCCTTGTCCATCTTCACGCACCAGCCGGTTCTTCATCACCAACTCGTCATTACCACCAGTCCTTGAGCTTCAAACCGCCGGGGAGAAAGTTGGACGGGGAGCTCTTCGGTTTTTCTTATTTTCATCCGGGTTTTCTTGTTTTAATTATTTAATTTAAATTTTTAGGATTATGTCTCTAAATATTGTTAAATTATTTTTAATAATGTTTAGTGGCTAAATTTTTTTAATCTAGCGCTTGGGTGTAGCCACCGACTTTATTTGGTTTATTTGGTTCATTATTATTTGATTTTTTCATTAATCAATATTTAATATTCTTGCTTTTATTCCATGTTTGTAACTGGCCACTACTTGCATGTTTAAAGATATTAATTGATGGAATGACAGTTGAAAATGAATATTAGTTCATGAGAATATTGGACTTAGGTAGTGAACAACGACAGTAGGAACACAACCTTTGCAACGTTAGATTCTTAAGTTCTTAATGTGCTCTAGTTATTTCCTATAGTCACGACAGTAGTCATAGGATTAATTACAGTAAGAGAATTATATCACGACGGTGAATAGTTCTTAATGAGGTGAATCGTTGTGAGATTAATGGAAGTTAAAAGTCAAATACTTATGAATTAAACCAAACCAAATATTCGGTAGGTGAACCCAAGGTCCTAGGTTTTGTTTGTCTGATTATTTGAATTAATGTTATTTGTTTTTATTTTATTTATTTTAGTTTTAAATTTTATAAATCTGAGATCATCATTTATCTAGATAATAATAGGAGTAATTTATACCTGGTAATTAGTATTCCTTCTCTGTGGGATCGACCCTGCTTGCTACTTTATTACTAGTAATTGTATTAAGTAGGTAATTATTATTTGACTAGTGTGACGACGGCTTGTCAAATTTGGTGCCGTTGCCGGGGAAGGCAGTTAATATCGGATTTAGATTACTTTCTTTTATTAGTTTAGATTTTTATTTTATTTTACTTTCTTTCAGATATTTTTGTCTTCTTTTTTTTTATATGCGAAGTGCTAATTCTGAGACTTTACAATTTGATCCAGAGATAGAAAGAACAGGTCGTGCAAATAGAAAATAAGCAAGGCTAAGAAAGGAGAAGAATCGGAGTGAAACCATGGGTGATAGAGTAAACACTCCGACACTGAGGGATTACTTCACACCTACGGAGAATGTTGCTAGGTCAAGTATTACTAGGCCTACCATTGCTGCGAATACCTTTGAGCTCAAGCCAGCATTGATCTAGATGGTGCAGCAGAATCAATTCTCCAGTTTTAACAATGAGGATCCAAATGTGCATATTGACAACTTTTTAGAGATCTATGATACTGTTAAGATAAATGGTGTGATGTCAGATGCAATCCGGCTAAGACTTTTCCCTTTTTCATTGAGGGGAGAAGTGAAGAATTGGTTGAATACTTGCGATCCTGGTTCCATCACAACTTGGGATGACCTGTACAAGGAGTTCCTGATCAATTTCTTCCCACCAGATAAGGCAGCGAAATTGAGAAACCAAATTACTGGGTTTATTCAAGAAGATGATGAGACATTTCATGCTGCATGGACAAGGTTCAAGGAATT